TTAGTTGCTAAATTTGAACGTCACCATAGGTATGTATTTAAATATGGAGATATTAATGAAGGAATGGTACGGAAGGAGGGTACGGATACAGACTTGCCCGTAAAGAACGGAAAAAAAGGCCTAAAATTCAATGCTCACACAAATATTATTAAATATATATATATATAAACTAAATTAATAAAAATATACTTAAATTTTGCGTCTCTAAAATATTATTAAAATTTTAATTAAAAAAAGTTACGAGATATATTTAACGTTAGTTTTAATTATTTTTAATAATTTTATTATTATCCTTTTAAAATTTCTTTTAAAAATAAACACGTTTAGACTTTTTTAAAAAAAATTAAAATACATTTATCGTTAATAACATATATACTTATGAATTTTATTTTCAAGAGTAATGTTAAAAAAAATTGAATATAATCATTCATATATTAACTATAATAATTTTTTAAAATTTTTTTATAGAGAATAATAGTGTTAATTCTATTTTTAAAATTCTTAAGAGTATTTTTTAATCCATAAATATTATTAAAAGTTCTATTTAGTCAAATATTATTAAAAATAACTATAATTCTATTTTTTTAAGACTTTTTTTAGTTTTATAGACATTATTGTAATTTTTGAAATTTATGAGTATATTTTTTTAGGCCTAATACAAAATTTAAATATATTTTTTATTATTATTATTTAGCCTATAAAATGCCTACCTTTTTCTCACCGTTGAATCATAGAAATTTAATAATATCAAATTTAGATTATAAATAATAATTAAAATTTGAGCTTTAAATATTTGTTTTATAAAGTTTAAAAATAAATAAAATTTTATTTGGTATTAAATCCATAAGTAAATATATATATTAAAAAAAACAAAATTTAATAATTATTATCGGAAATAAAATAAAAAAGGAAACTTCCACCCAACTCCACGCAACAACAAAAAGGTCCTATTTGATTCTCCGCGTACGAAAAATAAAATGGAATGAAATGTCACATGCAAAAGCGAATAAAATTTAATTTCCAAGATTCAAATTAATTATTTTAATTACATTTAATTAAATTAAATTAAATTAAATAATTTCCCACTACGGAACCTAATTTCGATGAACAAAACCGAGGTGGCGACAACATGTGAGATGAAAAGGCAAATTAATTAATTTAAAATTGGGGTTTGGGAATGTGAAATTTAATTATTTATTTGACAACTGTGTACGGACTCACGACACTGTTTGTTTAGCTTATGTACTTTTCTTAGGGAAATAAAACGACAGTATAATATTTATACATTAATTGAAATATCCTATGACTATGACGTGACAGCTGGTTTGGATTTCATTTACTGAACTTTAGGGTACACTCACACAGACACAAAATATGTCATAAGTACGGATGAGTAACAAAAATATCATATTCCAAAATTTAATAATATCTATTTATTACGATCATATTTTTTTCAAAACTTTACTGAACGAGTTGGGTCGTGTCTTCTTGTTTGTTTTACCAGCTTATTCTAAGGTCTTTTCACTCAGAGATCTTCGACGATGATATAGGAACTAACTCGCTTGTTGTATGTCACAATCGCACTCTCGTGAAACGTTTGTAAGCGATTATGCGTCACTCACTCTCACCATTAAGTGAGTTAGCCAACTTGAAATCATGTCGTGTTCGACTTAACAACATATATCTAAGCCCCTGACCCCGCTTTAAGAAGAATGTTTTGGAAAATAAGGACAGAGAAATGTTTTTGAAATAGAGTTTGAAGACAAGATTTGAGAGAAATGAGACAGTGATGTTACAGAATATAAGCAAAAAGACAACACGACGACTGATATAGCATCTAACTCTGAGTATGAAGAATTGACAACTAGTCGCATTCTCTTATAGTACATTATGAGACATTTTTAGGTCTACCAAACGTATACATAATTCTGCTAAAACGTCATACTCTGAAAAAATCTCCCCTTACATTCTAGAAGTGCAAAATAAGTTCGTGGGATTTAAATATAATGTCATACAAGATGTTGTCGTGTTTTTTGTTTTGGTTGAATGACTGTAAGATAAGAATCAAACTATTAACCTTTGGAGTGATATGAAGCTCGAATCATTAAATATTTAACTTGACGTCAGTGTGTTTTTACCTATATCGATCAAGCTACTTTGTTCACTTGGTAACATAAATGCAATGAGTTCAACAATAACAATAGCTATGAGATTAAGGTCGATATAACCAAGTACGACTTGTAAAGCATCTTGCAGTAACCTAACGCTTTTATAAAACAACCGATATGTCAACTAGACCTTCGGGGGCAACTGACAACGACAATGAAAACCTCTTGCCAGAGTATCAAAAGTATACGTTATGTATACCCAATACCAACCCGACTTCAAAGCTCTCAAATAAAGATTGAGTAGATAACCGAGGATCCCATCCAATCAGACTTCAATGCATGAATCGAGACGATCCACACTATGCAGTAGGGCAATAACACATTATAAACTTAAATATGTTGGAAATTCAATATATTCAAATAATTTAGTAGTTATGATAATGTTTTTTTTTTTTAATATTTGTGATGTGCTGACGTTCTGGCAGATAAACAACAATATATTTATAGATATTAACCGATATCTTGTAGTTGTATTTTGAGGCATTTTCCTTTTTTTTTTTTCAAATTAAATATATTTTACAATTTTCATGCTGGAAATTGGATTAATATTTAGTTAAAATAAAAATAAAAATAAAATAAAAAACTTTTTGAATTTTCTAAAACGTACAAATCCGAGGTACTAGTTGTCAAGTGGGTCCCGACGGCTATATATAACATTATATTAAAAAAAAATATATTTTTCGTCAAATCAATCATTACATTAAACGAAATATATGTATATATAAACATATGGTACTTCAATTTATTATAATGTTTTAAATAACTCGTCATTAAATGGCGTCCAATCAATTATTTATATGTAAGCTGTAAGTTTGAAAAAAAAAAAAGTTCGTTTTTTGAGTGAGAAACTGGAAGCTTCGTGTGGGTTTCTGTTCAATAAATCAGATTATGATTTTATTTTTTATTTTTTATTTTCTCCCTTTAATTTAAATAAATAGTTAAGTCGAGTTAGATAGATCGGTTTATTTATTATTATTATTATTTTTTTTTTTTTTGTTAAAAATCATATTTATTATATTGATAATTAAGATGCCATATCCCACCTTTTGAGAGGAAAACAAATCACTCTTTGTAAAAGTGTTGAAACCTTCTTTTAGCAGACGGATTTTAAAGCATTGAAGGGAAGCCCAAAGAGGACAATATTTGCTAGCGGTGGATTCGGGTCGTTACAAATGGTATCAGAGCCAGACAACGGACGATGTGTCAGCCTTCTCGCTGTTCCTCAAAGGGGGTAGACACGAGGCATTGTGCCAGTAAGGACGCTGGGCCTCAAAGAGGGTGGATTTGGTGCTGGTCTCACATTGGTTGGAGAAATGAATGAGTGCTAAGAGGATGCTGAGTCCCGATGGGGGGTGGATTGTGATGTCCTACATTAGTTGGGGAGGAGAACAAATCACAGGGTGTGGAAACATTCCCCTAACAGACGCGTTAATCTTGAGGGGAAGCCGAAAGATAACAATATCTGCTAGAAGTGGATATGGGGAAATCCCTTGAGGGGAAGTCCAAAGAGGACAATATCTGATAGCGGTGGATCTGGGGAAACCTTCTCTTAATAGATGCGTTAACCTTGAGTGGAAGCCTAAAGATAACAATATCTGTTAACGGTCGATCAAGGGCGAAATTACAAATATGGTAAAGCATACTTATTGTGGGCCCACCTTGGAAAGCAGGTCATTTTCCATAAAAAGCTTCCCGTTGGGCGTTTTATTTTTTTCCCCCCTGAAATTTTTCTTTTTATAAAAGAACCCCTAAACTTTAATCTAATTACAAAAAACAGAGACGTTTTATGATTTTGATTGGCCGTACGTACCCATCAGAATCTGAAATTTACAACTTGGCCTCAAACCATTTATTATTAATATATTCATTGGTAAGAAAGTCAAGTCATCCCTCCGTAAGCAGTTTTTAAAAAACGGTTGAGACGTCATTCTTTTATTTTCTTTTTTATTTTTGTTTAAATTTATTAAATCAATTAAAAATAAATAAAAAAAATTACTAAAAGATAAGCTATGTTGTAAAACGCGTTTTTTCAGCTGCATGCATGACAGTGGAGCAACAGCTGGTGGTTCGAACCCCATCACACTCCGCGTCTTTCAGTTTCAGTTTCTTTTTTTTTTTTTCTCTTTTCTCACTTTTTTGAAAATTAAAATTTTATTTTTAATTATATTTTATAATAATAAATATAATATAAGATTAACAGGTGGGAGCGAGGGTAGAAACGGAAACATAATTTCTATCTCCGACCCCGACACTCATTCCCTCCTGTAAAAAGGGGATTCCTCTTTTTTTTTTTTTACCGAACCTCTCGAATTAAGTCATGTCTCTAAACGTAATGGTTAATTTTGAAAACGGGTCAAAATATGGGAAGTTTAGGAACTCTTACCGCATGATTTTGTCTGTTACTTACGTACATTTGTACGTCGTTCTAGGTTGAAATTACATTTTTGCCCTTCTAAGTTGGTTTTGTGGTAAGCCCCTGGATTTCTAGAATAAGATTTTAATATGAAATTAAATACATTTTCTTGGTCTTCTAACTGAAATTTAAAATTTATTATTATTATTTTTTATAACAAAGTTTGACTCTTTGTAAATAGAATTCCGTGACAGTGAAAAATTCAACTCTTACGGTATCCAATAAAACATTATATATTTAAAACGGACATAATATTTTATAAAATAATGTAATATTTGAGGATTTTGAAGGGTAAATTAGTCATTTCAATGCACCTGTCCCCCATTCTTGCATGTGTTGTGAGCCCTACTTGATTGACTAAGAGATAAGCCATTTAGAGATCCATACACGAATTTCATTTCCTTATAAATCTCAGCCTCTTTAGCCCTTTCCTTCACTTGCCCATCACGTTTTTTAATAATCAAACCACTCTCACAAACACTTTCCTTGGTGAAAAATGGTGAAGAAATCGGAGAAGACGGCGGCGGAATCGTTTCCTGTGGCGGCGCCGTCGTGTAAAAAGAAGTATAAGGGTGTTAGAATGAGGAGTTGGGGGTCGTGGGTATCGGAGATTCGAGCGCCGAATCAAAAGACGAGGATTTGGTTAGGGTCTTATTCGACGGCGGAAGCTGCGGCGCGTGCTTACGACGCGGCGCTTTTATGTCTCAAAGGTGCTTCTGCTAGCCTTAACTTCCCGGAAATTGCTAACTCTATTCCGATTTCCGATCACTGCCACTTCCGCCGCTTACACCACCATATTGATTCCTCTGATGCCGACATTATGTCTCCTAAGTCCATCCAGCGTGTCGCCGCCGCTGCCGCTAATGGCTTCCGGGAAAATGTCTCCTCCGCCGTTGTCACTCCCCCATCCCCCGCCGTCTCGTCCCCGTCTCTCTCCTCCGATCTTCCGGACGATGAAGCGTCGGTGACCGTGTCGTCCGATGGTGTCTACGATCAAATCGATCCGTCGACGGCGGAGATGGATTCATGGTGCAATTACCTTGATACCCTTCAGTCGCCGAAATTCATTGACCAAATGCTCACGGAAGCTTGGTTCGATTTCGGTTCGATTCCGGCGGCCGAAATTCCCGATTTTTACGAGGAAGAAAGCGACATCAGATTGTGGAGCTTCTGCTGAAGAAAAAAAAAAAAAAAAATCAAAATTACATTATATTATTATTTTTTTCCTTATTTAAAATCTTCTTAAATTTGTGAAGATATTACTGACAGTGACCAAAAATATTTATTTATTTATCTCTTTGGTGTGTTTGATTCAGATTCGAACCAACGACCTCGAGAGATTTAGAGTTTTTTTCCCCAAGAAATCTCTCAAGTGTTGGTTTTGTGATGAAACTTTATGTAATGAGTAATTGTTGATTATATTATAATTGTATATTAATGGTAAACTTTAATTTCCTGATTTTTTTTCCCTTGAATATTGAAGAATTTTAATTAAGTTGCTTATTAAAAATAAAAATGTTAAGAGAATTGATTAATTTTAATTAATTTCCTTAAAATTTATTTAGCCATATATATATATATATAGATAAATCATTACTGACATCTCGGCTCTTGCAGCGATAAAGAACGTTAGCGAAATGCGATACTTGGTGTGAGTTGTAGGATACTACAAACCATTGAGTCTTTGAACATGAGTTGCGGTCTGAACCTACTGACTGAATGTATGTCTGCCTAGGCGTTAGACATCGCTTCCCCCATATGCAATACTGGCAACACGTGCACACTGTCGTGCGAGTGACTTAAAATTTAGTCATCAACACCTATTGTCGTGACATTATGGTGGTTGACCCAAGTAAAGTACTATAGCTCGCATGTCTTCTCCTTGTGAATATATATATATATAATTTGAGTTTTTAAAAATAATGCTAAATATTATATTATTATAATTATTGTGATTTTTTAGCAATTTAATTTCATATAATCAACTAATTAATTAGTATTTTATATTTTCCACTACAATTAAATTAAATAGTTGAAATTTTATTTTGACGATGAAATAAAAACACGACCTACTACATTATATTCATCCAATCAAAACCAAGTATATGAATATTGCTGGACAACTTATTAATTTGTTTTATTGGATAAAAATAAAATAAAACAAAATATATTATATTATATTATATCGACAAAGGAAATCAAACACAAAATCGAGTACAAGCAAATGTCGCTCTCGTTCTTTAATTAATTTCGCTGCATATTTGTTACAAGCTACAAGATGTGGCTTATATTCCATTTTGTTCTATAAAAAAAAAAAAAAAAAAAAACCTTAACGTAGGACCAATTTTATGGTGAATTCGAGTCGATTTATTTAAATTTTATGTTATATTACACGCTCGGGTTGAAAATTTTGCTGGCTAATTAAATGACTGCGTGTTTTAGATTTGAAAAATTGCATAAAAAGAATATTAAAATTTAAAAAGTGTGATTTATTTATTTATTTTTATTCAACTTTTAAAGGGAATAAGTGGACTTTAGGTTTGCAAGAAATAAAATTATTACCTTTTGTTTAGACTAAATTGGAATATAAAATTTTAATTTAATAAAAAAATTAAAAATTAGAAAAAATTAAGAAGTATACTTAAATATTAAAAAAATATAATTAATTAAGTGAAATTAACCTTTTTTTTTTTTAAAAAAAATGAAAATATTAAATTGAGAAGTTTTAATATATTTAAAATATAATAAAGAATTAAATAAGATTTAGGGGACGCAAAATCCAATGGGCCAGGCTTTGACGCGTTTTTGCTAAGAATATAGTCTCCATTACGAGCTCTATCAGGCTTTGAATCCACCCAACGGGGGTCCATGTGGTGGTTAGGGTTTCGGTTGTTGATTGATTTGGACCCGTAGATCCAACAGTGCAAGGTGAAGCCCAAGTCAGCGATGGGGTCATGGATTCGTACTAGTTTGATTTTTCACTTCAGCCGGCGTTTCATCTTGGTTAAGACCTTCGTCCTAAAGTTCTTCTCTCTCCGGCGGAATTCTTTGCGCTGAATTCGAGTTTTCTGCTTCGGTATGGCTAAGGAGGTTTACACCAGGGAAGAGTTGCTTGCGCTGTTGCAGGTCTTTGGATTTCTCGCTCTTTTTGTTCTATTTTGTTTTTTTCAATTTCGATTGATTAAGCTTTAGTATTCGTGCTGTACTTCGGAGAATAGGTTTCTTCTCTCGTGATTGAATGTTAGAGACCTGTGGTTGAGTTTTTGTTGAACTCTGCTGATTCTTCTTGTTTTGAGATTGACGTCATAATTTACTTGCTTGGTGTAGCGCTGATAACAGAGTTGCAGACGTTTACTTCTGTTTCTATCGAAATTTATAGTTTGTGTACTGCCGCTAGATTATGGAGTGTGCTTCTTTGCTTAATTATCTGTCGTTACCGATTGAATTCAGATGATTATATTATGTGTGTTTGTTTTTTTTTTTCCTTCTTTTTGTCTCATTTTCGCTCGCTAATGCAATTAAGAATGCTCTGTAGGATCTTCAAATTGATTTTGCCAAGTACGAACATCCGGCTGTATTGACAGTTGAAGCTCAGGTAATTCTGTATGAAACAAACGAATGAAATCATCCTTGTCATTCTATTGTTAATTTTTTTTATATATAAGTTAATGGAAGCATGTTTTTTCGAATCTTCATCAGGCAAAATATGTTGGAAATTTGGGGGGTGGTATCAGTAAGAATCTGTTTTTGAAGGTAGACTTCTGAACGAACTGTTTCTGCCCCATAATTCTAGTTATTAGGTATTGCATTCTATATTACAACGTATGGTTTTAACATCTGCAATATTTTCCGCGCATTGGCAGGACAAAAAGAATAGATACTATGTAGTTTCAGCATTGGCACAGACCAAAGTGGACCTGAAAGGTCTGTACATTTTACTAATGGCTGTGATTTGTTTTTAAAAATTTTCTTATAAAGGGTCGGTCTTGGTCCGTTAATGTTCGTTTACGATGGGTTTCTTGAAGATACAATGTCTATGATCACGTATTTATAGTGCGATGTGATTCACGGTCAATTTTAGTCATGCAGTTCTATCTGCAAGACTTGGTTTGGGGAAAGGAGGTCTGAGAATGGCTCCCGAGGAAGCATTGGGAGAGAAACTTAAGGTTAGAAATAGCCATTTCAGGGATTTCACACTTAAATAATTCTTTTACTTCATTGTGTTGGATCTTTCATGTGCTCATTTTTTTTAATCCAATTGGACAGTGCTGATACCATAGTTCTTTGTTTTCACCTGCATTGTTTTATTAGCAATGATTTTATGGTCATGGAAGCATGTGTAATAAACCAGCTTAGTGGTCACTCAATTTTTTTTTATTGCCTTTTACATTAATCTGAATGTGTTTTCTAACTAAGTAGTTATCGTGATTGTTTTTAAATTTCAAGGTAGACTGCATGTGTGAAATTGCAGTCAAATTCAATTAAGAATATCTGATTTAAATGAAGATTAAGCATTTTAACATTGTTGAGAGGTTAAAGGTGTGAAGCAGCATGAGGTATATGCCTCAGTTTAAATAAAAGACACCAATGTAACTCATATAAGTATAACATTCGGTATTATTGAAATGAAATGATTGCATAAAAGTGTGTGTGTCTGTATTTATATATTCTTTAATTGTCTTCTGTTTTTTTAGAACTTTGGGGGTAAAAGCACGAACTGTCTGTAATACCACAACTTATGGTGTATTAGCAATAAATACTGTAGAGACTTCTGATATTTTGGAGAAATAGTTACAAATTAGTATTATTCTTCAGCCACTTTATCAGAAATAAAGAATAAATTTTAGTTCATTCTCAGGGCATGAAACAAGGGATATTAACTTACAAGTAATCAACAATATCTAATTATCCTAAAAAGTTACAGTTTTGGTTCAACTATTTAATTATTTGCAAAAAGTCATTGGCATCAGAGAAATAGATGCAGGGATCCCTAAAGGAGTCGATGAATTGCAATATCCTTGTTGAAACATGATATGCGAAGTTAATTCGTTTATTTAGTCGTGTCATTTTGGCATGACTCTAAGGATTTCTACCACATAAGTTACTTTCTCTTGCACTAATTATTTGATGCCATTCAATTTATGCTAGTTATGCAGAGTTGATGATATTTCAATTGTACAGTTCTAGATTCTTATCAGATGGCTATCATGTGATTACTTATATTTTTGTTTTCATTTGTTGCTCAGGTGTCGTTGGGTTGTGTTACTCCATTTGCACTTATCAATAAAACAGCACGGTAATGTATTAATATACTCCTTGGCAGTGAATTTTATTTTCACGCATCTATCAACAGTTTACCCAAATTTTGTTCTTGACATGTTTTATTTTTCGCTTTCAGTAGCTTTCTATGTTTTGTTGCTGTTTGGTATGTTGCTAGGAAATCTTCTAGAAATTTATGTAACTAAGACTTGGACAATACTTGGAACATTTACCTAATGTGCAATCCTCCGGTGGTGGAAGGAAGAGCTAACCTTTCCTTACAGTTGGACCTGGAAAGTGGATTGTTTGATAATATAAGGCAGCATATTATATTTTTCTATTTTATTTGTGTTCAAACTATGGCTGAATGAACCATCAATTTTTTTATATTTTGCTCAAAGTTATTATTTTGTGTTATTGTAAACTCTTTCCTTGTGCAGAGATGTTGCTTTATTGTTAGACCAAGGATTTAAAAGCCAGGAATTCTGCTTCTTCCACCCTTTGTCAAATGAAACATCAATATGTATGTGAGGCACACTTTCGCTTATTTTCTCTTTGCCTTTATTCACCTTGCGATACATATGTTGCTGAGGTTTCAGATTTCTAACAGTCCAAACCTGACTTTCAATGTTGTTATGTGCTTTACCCTTGCCAGATGTTGTTATTCTGTGTTTCACTCTTCATTTTGATGGCTGCTTTCATTTAATTGGATTTGGTAGCTGTCTCTGTTAACCACGCATTCCTCCCACATATATCTTGCTCTATAACTGTGGAAGTGAAAACTTGTTTTTATTATAGAAAAGTTTTTCCATGTTTATCTGACATGATAAAGCAATCTTGGTCTTGCATACGCGTGGATTAATCAGTTGAACTTTGCCTGCTCTATTATAAGTTAGACTCTAATTCTCTTTATATATTTATGTCTCCAGCTCTTAATACCACCAATCTCGACAAGTTCCTTAAATCAATCGGGAGAGACCCTTCATACATTGACTTGGAGGTGAATCCATATCTGGTAACCATTGTGATAATCCAAAAGTTTATTATTTGTTGATTTTTATTCCTTCTCTGCAGGCTAATCCTTCTGTAGGAAAGGATCAACCCCCCGATCTTGCTGGACTTGTTCCTTCTGGTTCTGCCTTTGTGCCCGATACTCCAGAGAAAACATCTTCATGTCCTGGTTCTAATGAAAATCAAGGTGTTGCGGACAAGAAGTCTAAGGCAGCTGCAGGTAGTATATTGAGCTTATACTTATGTAGGACAAAAAGATAGGGGAGAGAAATTAGTATAGGTGATGAAATTGTACGTGGATGTTATTGCTTCAGCTTCAGGACTTGCGGATTAGACTAACTAAATGTTAGGTTGTATAGGGTTTTCTAGTTTTGTCTGCTAAGAAAATTCTTATAAGATAAATGCATTGATTCATTCTGGTTTTGCACTTAAGGAAAATAAAATACTTCATAATGCCTGGTAGTTTATTAATCACGATGATTGGACGGGTTGTTCTCTTCCCCCGTCCTCATTTAGGAACTCAATCACAATATATCAGCCCTGAATGATCTTCTCTATGCTAAAGTAACGAGTCTCTCTCTCTTTAAAATAGTGAAACCATCTTCTGCTGTGAAAGCTGGAAAGGACAAAGCCGTTCCAAAAGCACGACCATCCTATGCAAATGTCGAGAAATTTGTCGAAGAGATTCTTGATAAGACATCGGCAATAGTGCTTTCAGAGGTTATAACACCGTTCTTGGCATTAGTATACACTTAGTTCAAACTTGTTCTGAACTGACAGAACCAATTTTGACAGCTCACAGAGGAGACTGTTAAAAAACATGGAGAACAGTTGGGAGATGTGGTGTCAAACAGCATTAAGAAACATCTTAGCTCGGAGTTGAACAATCTTTCTGTGAGTATTTTTCTTGGTTACTTTTTTTTATTTGCTTCTTCGTGAGCAACGAAAAACAACTTTAAGAGCCATGCACACTTGCCGTTTCAAAGTTCAAAATATTTGCATTGCTTACAGATTTTTCAATTTTGAATCAAGCGGTTACAAATTTCGTATGGTTTGTGATTCATCTACGATTGCAGATGATATTTAAGAACAATGCATACACAGAAGGGTTCCATGCTGGATCTTCCCATAAAGTGAAGCATGCGTGCTGATATTTTTGTCTGCTTGTGTTTCCAATAGAAACTGAAGAAGAGGACTCCGACCAAAGGCCGGGTAATGGCTCTAGTTATGTTCAAGAAATTTTAAAAGATATGGTGCCAAACTGTTGGTAGAATTTTTCATAACAATTTAAGATTTTGGTTCGCTATAAGATAATCCATCTTTAGCACCTCTGAAATTTATTATTATTTTCATTAACGTATCTGATTTCATTTGCTGGTGATTAAGTTTCCCCACTTTGGCCTTTGTTTTGTTAAGATAATGACCACCAGCTCAGTATTGCTGATGGGTTGCATGGTTCAGGTAATTTATTTAATTTTAATGATCAGGGTGAATTATGAATTTTGATTTCATATCAGCACTTGACGTCCTTCTTAAAGGAGGCATACAAATACGTTTGTGCTCCTGAGATTAGCGCCAACCTTTAATCTACCAACAAGGTATAAACTAAGTACCTTGTATCATTTAGGCAGGTTTAGTTTATCACTATTCGTGCATTTACATGTTTTTCTTCAATGCTTAATTCTTGATTCTTTATTGCATAAGATGGTATAAATAGGATAGAAATTACATCCTGCCCACGTAATGGAACCTGGATAATGTTTTAGTTTTGAACATGGAACATGCTTTGAGCGACAAAATCAGGTGTGAGATATGGTATCTTTTAGGACAATCTCAATCCTGCATATCAAAGAGTTGAGAATCATCTGATTAGTGCTTTGCTGAATCTGTAGAATAGTTAGAGAACACTTGATCGAAGGCAGTGGCGTGGCATTATACCTAATGCACCGTGGTAATGAATCTAACTTCTTGTCTTTTCCACAGTGTCTGCACATTTTCGTAGAATTTACATTCTTAACGAAGGCGTTCGACTAAAATGTCTCGAATACGAGTTATTTGCAGCATTACCATTGGCATTAGAAAGGGCTAAGGAAGAGAGGTGAAATAAAATGTCTCGAATCAGAATCTGTGATTGAAAAAATATATTATTTCTTTTTCCAGAAATATGTTTTCTTTTTTTTTCAAAATAACCTTTTATGTTTTTTTTTCCAGTTTGGAAAATTTGATTAAACTTCTATTTACTCTCTATTTCTTTCGGGTTTTCTTTCTTCCTTCTTTTTTAAAGGAATTTATGTAGTAGTTTTCTAATTTTTTTTTCCTTTCTAGAAGAAATATATATATATTATCTAGAAAGTATATCAATTAATTTCCTTCTCCTGTAGTTTTAGAATAATGGGAAATAGGGAAATGAGAATGAGAATAATTTTTTAACATGATTTTGCAGCCCATTAGACAGATAATGACTGGTAAGGATACACCATCATTGGGAGACCCTTAATTATTGCATGTGCATCTCTAGTGTATATGCTCGTACAAGCTTTTATTTAATTGAATACCCCTTTTGTATTTTATATCAATACTATTATTAGCCACCATAATCTCTAGAAGAAGAATTGTGGCTGTCCTGTGGAGGGCTGAGCTGCCTATATCTACTCCGAAATGGCCTATTCACCAACTGACCCCACCACCTGGTACATCTTCTCCCAATCCCTTCTTCATCGTCAGAACTTTCTGCCGCTTGATTCTCCGGCGGTGATGGCGGCATCTCTTGCCTGCACACCGGACATGAGTTGTGGAGTCGAAGCCATGGCACTATGCACTCCGAATGGTATACATGCTTGCACATCAATTCCCTTGCTTCTTCCCCAATCTCAAACTCCTCCTTACAAACTGGACACATCGTGTCGTTCTTCAAATGTTCTGCCGCTATCTTCACCGTTGGGATTCGCTCTATTGCTGCCTCGCTCGCTGGCTGCGGCCCTGGCCGGTCATTCTGTGTTAGTTCTTCGATTAGCTCGTCGAGTCGTGGTCCAGTGAAGTAGTCTCTTGGGTCTGCTCTCGGTGGTATTATGGGCTGAACCGGCCGAGATGGGTCTGTGGGTCTGAGAATGATGACAGTCCGAGACCGGTTCTGATTTGGGGGTTGCAGGCTGGAGTTGTCCCTCTCGTCCAGGCTTCGATTGCGTCGCCGGGTTCGCCAGTGGAACCATTCGTCGCCTTCGGGATCACTAAACGATTGTCGGTCGAAATTGTCGAATTGGTGCAACATAGGACGACGGCGGTCAATGTCGGGGAGTCGAAAGAGCCGAACCGGGGGGTCAAGCATTAGGGAGAGGGCTTCAAGTAAACGAGTCTCGGGAGAGTTATCGAATTGGGGGCGGGTGAGATGGAGTTCTTCGAGGAACTGGCCGGAACAGCGTGAGCAGATGAGCTCGGACGGGTCTCTGGTGGTGGCGAGGGTGACCATCCGGTGGCATTGGTGGCACCAGTAGAAATGGAAGGAGGATCTGGTATGGCGAGATGAAGCAAAAGACATGAAAAATTAAGTATAGTTATTTGGGAAAGGGAATTAGAAGATGGAGAGATTTTATATATATGGGGAATGGATGGATGGAAGGGAGGGAGAGGAGAAAAGAATGGCTTTCTGGGTTGGCAGAAGCAATTCTCTGTGGTGTTTGACATTGACATTGCCATTTCTGTATCCTGAGGTTTGTGTTAGTTTCAGAGTGTTTCGTAGAGAAGAAGAAAGGGATGAGTGGAAAGATAACTTTTGTGTTGAGAGTCTTGGAATTGAGGGAAGAAGAAGAAGAAGAAGATGAAGAAGAAGAAGAAGAAGAAATTATGGGCTTTTCATGCTTTAGTTTAGTGGGCCTTTTAAGTTATTTTCTGTTTATGAGGCCGTGGAGAACCCTTTGGGCCGAACCTTTCCTTAGGTCGCCAATTTTTGGGCTTAAGCTTGTTATATCCGGCCCAACAATAAGAAAAATACCGTTTCTAACTCGAATGAAGTTTACAATTCAACTCTATCCTACCTACGTGCTACATTAATATCTAGAATTTTATAAAATTTCAATATCAAACATTCCCGAGTTACAACATACCACTAACATCAATAACAAATTTCAAATATTCTTAAATCATCAATAACAAATTTCAAATATTCTTAAATCTTCGTAATAATCTTAAAAGTATTGTAGAGTTGGGTTGTGTTATGCCCCTATTTTTGGATTGATTGAGTTGATTCGACCGAATTTTTTTTAACCCAGAATTTTTAGTTTGAACCCAAACCAAAAAAATATCTAACACATCCCTAACCTTTATATTTTGGGTTGGGTAGTTCGGGTTGATCAAATTTTTGGGTTCTACTAACACTCTATCTAATGTGTATATATATATATATATATATATGATTTGAATTAATGGTAGGTTTGGATGTCTTTATTTAGTAGGTAAGTATATAGGGAATAAGGAAAAAGAAAGCACATGCTACACACTTTATATTTTGTCCATATTATTTAAAACAATGTTCCAATAACAACAGTTTAGTCAAAAAATAAAAAGGAAATAAATAAATTAAAAAAAGAAAAAGAAAAAAAGGGAGTGAATTAGGCATATTTCCTTTTGAAACAGAGGACCAAATCTCTTTCAAACCCAACTGCGTTGCTATTTTGTTTTGACATATAAACCCCAAGACCAAAAACTCCCAAATAAAAAGGACCTTTCTTACACCACTTCCCAATTATATACCCTTTTCTCTTTATTCATCAATTTAAATGCTTGCATTATTATCCACTCTTAATTCTAGGTTTTTTTTTTCTTTTCAATTTTTAGACATTTCCACTAATATTTATATATAAAGTTTTTTCTTTTTTTTGTTCAATTACATGGATTTTAATTTGTTCTTTTGTTTGCATTTAAATTTGGGTTTTTAACTATATTTTTAAGAGACTCAAATGATTCTGGCTTCCGTCTTGAATGAAATAGTATAGTTCAGTTGATAAGACAAAAACACCCCTTATTAAAAGAGGTAGATGATTCAATCTTCTATCCTATTTAAAAAAAAAAAATTATGTTTAACACTTTTTCTTTTCAAATTTTTATTATCTTTTAGATCTGTATTTGATTTGACCTCTTGGATCTTTTGAGTCTTAAATTAAAGAGTGAATTCAGGCATAGTTCAATAGAAAAGATAAAAAAACATTAATTATCATTGGTTCGATCCTCCATCCTAAATAAAAAAAACAAGTGATATAAACACTTTTTTTAATCTAAAACGACGGATGACGGTAAATATTGAAAATAAACTTAAAACTCTTAATCTACCATAAAAAGACATGGTGGTAAGCCATTTGATTTGAACTTCACATCCCAAGGAATAAACATGGGATCATGAAAAAAGAAGAACCCAACAAAAATATGAAACCAAAAATCATAGAATAATAAGAACAATAGGGAAAGTGAAGTACAAAAATAAGTAGAAGACAATGCAAGCATAAAAGTAATAATAATGGAAAAAAAAACGCACACACACTGCTTGTCTTCCTCCATCTATGCTTTGTTGTCTGTCAGAGACAGAGTGTTAAAACCCATGTTTTGATCTTTGGCCATTTCCCAAGAATCACATTTCTTAAGCTTCATTTCTCAACAAGTTCAGAGGTTTTGGCTCTTAATCAAATCACTTAAAAGGGTTTTCTAGGCTTAAAATAAGAGGTTTTGAACTGTCAAGAGGCCTCAAGAAGCATATAAACTAAGGAGAATAGGAAGGAAAAGTAAAAGGAAAGTTGAATTAGAAGTGAATCTGAAGGGAAAAGGGAAGAAAAGGTTAGTGATGATGGGGTTTGAAGAGGGAGTTTTGGAGGATGATACACATGATGGAGGCATGTGGTAGTATGTGTAAAAATTAAGACCTACCATTATCCAAATGGGACACAATCATCCCACATGCCTTCCTTCTCTTACCCATCATAAAAATATCCCATTTTCTTCTCTTTTGTCCCCCACCTCCCTGAAAAGAATTCAAAATAAGTCTCGAATCTTAAACTTTCAATCTTATATACAATAACGTTGGGAAGGTAGGTGAACCAACGAGATACTGATATCTCATGTATCTCATGTACTAAAGAAATAGTCATTGACAGAAATGACGGAGTTGGATGTTTGAAGTGTTCTCGAAGTCATTAGAGCTATATTGGCTACAAATCTCCCCTTTTTGTGTCTACCTACCCGAAAAAATAATGGTTACATAGTTTTGGGTTTGGAATCAAGACTATAGACCTGTTTAAATGAAATAATAAAACATTCCATAAAGATGGCTTGATAATGCAGCTATATAGGTGGGGATTGAGTTGAAAGGCCTATTAGACACGTTCTACCGAATAAACATAAACGCCTATTAGACACGTTCTACTGAATAAACATAAATCTAAGACGTTTGGTAGTAGGTTTGGTTCTTTAGGGAGCTTTGGGTTTGGGCAAGAGAGTTGAAATCTCGAGAAAGAGAGGTAGATAAAGTGGTGTATTTCATTAATATAATATACATTGTGTGTACAAGTTGCAGTGTAATGATACTGATAGGAACTTAAAAACACCTCCGGTGGGTTTTTAGCCACCAGGGTTTTTGTTTTTATGGCTGTTCTATAAAAGTTAGCAAACCTTACATATCTGAACCGCAAAATTTACCGTCCATTCGATTCTGAACGGCTTTGATGGCGGCCACTCTGGCCGCATTGGCCGCTCTATTAGCAGCAACCACGGCTTTACTCACTTGTTCATCCATCCGGGGAAGATTTATAGCATTCTCTGCTGCCTTTCTAGATGCCTGCATTTTGTATAAACACAATCAGAGATCGGAGTGAACTCAATTCACTGTAAAGTAATTACAATTCTCATAACAATGGTGACAACAGATCAATGGATGGATTAAGATTAGTGTAGGTACCTGAACAGCTTGGAGAACGGCATCACTTAGCGGCGGGAGAGGATGCTTGAGGTTGCTAGCATCCCACTCGCCGCATTTGGCTTGGCCGTTTCGAAAAGCATACTTGCCGTAGCCTTGCCTATGACCTTCATGCCATGATCCTTCATAACAATGGCCGTTTGCAAAATGGTAGATTCCGAAACCATGTACTTTGTCCCCGAAGTATTCTCCAGCGTATCTATCTCCATTTCTACAGCACAAGCAAATGGAGTTTGGAATTCTAGTTAAATTAATGTACCCCCAACAGAAAACCAGCCAGCTACTTTCTCAAATAAACAAATGACATTTCAATGCTAGATGCGTAAAGATCAAGATAATTTATGATATGGGTCCATCGTGTAGAATTCTATATTGCAGCTTAAAGTCAGATTGGGTTCACAATTTTTTTTATTACATGTTCTATCTCCTGGAGGATTTGAAAGTATTGTGCACAGTGAAAAGAGATCAGGGAATTCCAAACAGAGACGTTTCTTTGTTTAAAGTAATAAGAAATAACCAAATTGCTTCAGAACCCAGATGCTAATAAATCTACAACAAATTGAGAAACAGCCTGGAACCAGATCGCCCAAGTTACCAATTCTAGCAAGATTACGTTTATACAAAGATAATTTATGCCAATAAAATCAACCAGATTCCTACCAAAACGCAACCAAATTGAACTCTGACATCTTACAACCAAATTTTTGGGCTCAAATATATCACTGTTGTATGAACTGTAAGCAATCAAAATCCAAAAAGAGTAATCCAATGAAATTCAAGCAAGAAAGCTTCAGAGAAACTGTTTGGAGTTCAAAAACAGGAGGAAACAAACCAAAACAATTGAAATTCCTCAATAATTGCAAATTTACCTGAAGTAGTAACATCCAAGACCATGCTTAACGCCGCGCTTGAACTCGCCAACATAGCAGCTACCATCAGCGCAAGTCTGAAGTCCAACGCCATGGCTTTGGCCATTACACCACTCACCGGCACAGGAATCCCCCGTGTAGAACTTATATACTCCAAATCCATGTCTAAGACCCTGTCGATACTGGCCCCTGTAACGACTCCCCTTCGCCCAGCTCTCGACGCCATAGCCATCGTACCTCCCATCGACCCAATCTCCTTCGTATCTCCCACTTAGGAAATAGTTGTAAACCCCACTTCCATTACAACTCCCATTGTAAAACTCTCCCTCGTAGAAATCGCCATTGCTATAGTACTCTACGCCCTCTCTGATAATTTCCCTCTGTTTTACGGCGTCGTCTTCGGCATCGTTCGAATCCCCAATGTACCATTGGATCGGAGTCGAATCCGTTCTGGAGAAACAGAATCTGTTCGCATTTTCGTGCAATGAATGCTTGATAAACGAAAGAATCTGTGAAATTAACCGCTTATTCTTGCTCATAAACACAAGCGTAATAGCAACAAAAATCAGAGCCAACAACAAATTTTCAGACGGGAGTAGCCCATCCTTCCTCAGAAAGAAGAAAACGAAGAGCAACGAGAAGAAGATGAAGCAAAGAAGCAAAGCAACAGCAACAACACAGTTCGCAAATCGGTTCGATCCTGTTCTCGGCGATGAACCCGACCTACGAGGCTTCTTAGGCCTCTGCTTCTCTTCATCGTCATCCTCCTGATGACCGACCATAAAGTTTTCTCCCTCGTTAACGGACGATAAACTATGAAAAGACGATCGGAAAGTCGGTGACGAACGAAGTAACGACGACTGAGTTCTCGTAAGCTTCAAGTTGCTTTTCACGCCATCCATTACAAGCCCGATTACGACCGAATCTTCAATTCACCTTTTCTCCTTCAAAAACCACTCCTGTACCTCGAAATACTTATCATCAAAGCACTTCTGTGCTCTGCCGGTAACATTCCAGGGAAACGGCGCAGGATCAGCAGTATCAAACTGCACAAATTAACCAAAAAACACAAATCCGAAGGAGAAAATTGAAGAACAATTTCAAGTTCCCTACGATTTCTCTCGATTGTTTGTAATTTGGAGATTATAAAGAAGAAGAAGAAAATGGTGCGAATCGGAGACGACGGACCAGGTTTTATATATTTAAACTGAGAATCGCTGGGTGGGGCCCGGTGAGGAATGCCGTGGAATCTGGGCCGTTGATTAGTTTGACGGTCAGATTGAATTGTGCGACGCTCCGGTCTACGCGGGATGTTCACGGTCGTCGGATTCAGATTCGGGTCTTGATAATGATTCCATGTCGATGATACTAGTTTAAGTAAGTTGATCGTGGTGTAATCACCGTTAAATTGGAAGTCATGATTCGATCGGACGGCTGGAACCACTGTAACCGTAGTTTGTTGAACGGGTAAGCCTAATAATTTTAGTTTATTCTATTTTTTTTGTTATTTTTTAATATCCAATTTTTTTATAAAAAAATATTAACTATTTTATTATTGTTAATATTAATAGTTTCAACTAAATTTATGAACTAAAAGAGTTATTATTTACCGATTAAATTAAATATTTTAAAATTTTGTAAATTTCATCATTTACTACCAAATTTTAACTTAGAATAATATGGTTGAACTAAAATATATCAAATTCTTAGGTAGAAATGGAACGGTAAAAAAATGAATTTGTAAATAATTAGGATTTTTATTTTAAATGCATAAATAGTAATAACAAATTAATTAACAGTCTGGGTGAAAAATGGTTGAGAGTAAGAGGAAGCAAGGGGTGAAAAATTTAATGGTAGAAAGAGTAATTAATGAGACTTCGGAGGGCAGTTAATACCCTTTTTGGAATTTTATTTTTCTGTAGAGGTCCTTTTCGTAAAAATCTTCCGTACTTTAAATTGCGTGATTTACAAGAAATTGAATTTCTTTTTCTTATAAAAAACGGTTTATTAATAAAAATATTCATAAATTTCTACTTCTTAAAAAAATTTAAAATACTTTTAATATAAATTATTAATACTCTATTTTTTAAAAAAATAAAAAATACTCTTAATTTTTAAAATTAAAAAATATCCTTACAATTATTTTATATTTTTAAAAATATTTTTTTTTAGTTTTTAATATATGGGCGTAAATCATTTATTTAAATATCTTGAATTAGAAAATAATTTATTTGAAAATAAATGGTCTATTTTAAAATTGAAATAGTGTTTTTTTTTTAGTTTTTTTAAAAATAAGTTGAGGATTTTTTAAAAAATATTTTAGAGAATTTAATAATATAAGAATTATTATTATTTTATTAGAAATGGAGAGATGGTTGAAAATAATTGGGATGTGATTATGAATTATGTAAACATAAATAATTTAATAATAAGATAGACTAGTTCATTAATAATTTATAATTAATTCATTAAAATTTAAGTCTCGTAAATCAGTATTTATTATAATAAGATTTTATATTCATATAATATGACAACTTAAAAATCCTCTTATTCCATATTTATGGTAATAAAAAAGTTACTGTTTTTTTTTTTTACTTCTTATCCTATTAAATTGTTTTAAATTATTTTGAATTGGTAAATAATTGACGTGTTTAAAGGAGATGGAGTAAAAGTAAAACCAATTAACTCCTTTCCATAGTGGGTAAAAGAGATAACTAAATGTAGTAAAATTTTGAGTGTTGGGATAGGTTCAACAATAATTAATTGTATTGGAGTGAAAGTAGTATGTCGCAATTTTCATGTCAAATCGAGCAAGTGCCTACCCGATCCTCCAATCAGTGAGAGTGTAACCGTCCAAGCCCGCCACTAGTAAATATTATTCGTTTTGACTCGTTATATATTGTCGTCAGCCTCACGGTCTTAAAACACGTCTACTAGGGAGAAGTTTCTACACTCTTGTAAAAAATGATTCGTTCCCTTCTCTAACTTGAACTGTTATAGAGAGAGACAATGTCTTCTCTTACGACTTCATGGTCACTATATGCTCGTGCATTCTCTAAAGTGGTCCATTTCAAAAGATAATTTGTCATAAACTTCACCGGCACGTGTCTCGTTCAATTCATCCTTTGTGAACGTTTTACCAATTGGGTTGTGCGGTCTCTTAATAAGAGTTGTTCGAGTATCCTTTAAGATCGTAGGTTTAAGCTCACTTATAAGAGAACAGACGTAAGACGTATTGTTCGGTATTAAGCCAAGCAAGTTATGAAGTTTTTATCGAACCATAAGAATAAAATTCTAAAATTAAAAATTTTAGAGACTAAATTTTAAATTATTTACAATTTAATTATTATTATTTTATATTGCGATGTATAAATTATTATTATTTATACATCTTATTATAATTTAAATATATTGACTATATTTTATTCTTTTTTAAGTTGTAGTTAGGGGCCAAAGTGTAAATTGAGTTGGTCAATTTTATTTTCTTTAAAATAATTTATCGAAATTACGGACGACATGTCGACATTCAACACCATATAAGGGCTCTGGAGTTGGATGGGAACTCCATAAAGTCGATGAATCTGTAAGGTTCTTGCCGGAGAAAAGCCACTCCACCGTTAACCAGTATTCCGGTATGTGAAATCTTCTTGTTCTTACTTAGTCATAATCGTTCTTCTTCTATCTTCAATTCTTCTCTGGCTGTGTTTAATTTAATTTTGCTTAGTTTCATTCCACCCGATTTCTTCCATCACTCGATTTCGTTCTTTCTGCAAATAGGAGCGATTAGCTCGCAATGTGTTGCTAATTCTAGTTGCACATCAAATTTGATCATTTGGACTTGTTCGTTCTGTTATTGAGGGCAATTAAGGTAGTGTGAGTTGAGGAACGGGTGTAAATAGAAATGTAGGTTTATGGTAGGGTTTTAGAGCCTTCGCTCTTGATAATTGGTTGAGGATGGATGTTGATTTAGAAGGAACTACTAATTCTGCGTTGGTTTCTCTGTTTTTTTTTTCTTATGAAAAGATGGAACTAGCGTTTGACTGTGTTTGCCGCATTGATGAATTGAATCCTCCATGGACACCTCTTTCTGATAGTTAACTGTTCTGGAGATGCATGATCTTGAAATCTCATGAATTATTCTTTTCAAGTGTTCTAATCGTGAAGTTGAATTCTGCTGAATGTTTTAATGTGTTTGCCACATTGATGAATTGAACTCCTCCATGGCGCCTCTTTCTGTTAGTTAACTGTTCTGGAGATGCATTATCTTGAAATCTCCTGAATTCTTCTTTTCAAGTGTTCTAATCGCGAAGTTGAATTCTGCTGAATGTTTTAATGTGTTTGCCACATTGATGAATTGAATTCCTCCACGGACACCTCTTTCGGATAGTCAACTGTTCTGGATATGCATTATCTTGAAATCTCATGAATTATTCTTTTGAAGTGTTCTAATCGCGAAGTTGAATTCTGCTGAATGTTTTAATGTTGTTCGCTGACATCTCCTCTTTCTCTCTCTCAGCTAATAGTCAAGTTGAATTTCGCTGGTGTTTCTCACAAGTAATTGAGCTCATTCAATTGCGGGAGAGATATGGGAAGCCAAGAAACCGTTAAACATCTCGAGGAGTGTTCAGTGTCAAAGTAAGCTGTCACCTCCTACCTTTTCTTCTATATTGTTATCATCTCTGATGCGTTTTCTTCTTTTTCAATTGTTGAAAACCGGATTATCTGCTTCATGAAGGAAAAAAAAAAAAGAAAAAAAAAGGAACTTTAAAATGTTTATATGGCCATGATTTAAACTTCGGTAAAACAACCTAGCTGTTCTCGTTATCTATTTTAGCTATTACTAAGGTTATTTGGCTAAGATGACAGAAAGAATCTTATGAAGTTTTACAGTTTGAAATCTAAACTAGATTGTTTTGTCATTGTAATCTTGCATTCCGCTCATTCGAGCATAGTGTTTTGTTCATTTGACCAATGATTATAGGCGCCCTCGAGGCTTCGCCTCTTGAAGAGGCAAGAGGCAAGACGCAAGCCTTGAGGCACTATAAAGCGTAAGCCTCAACTTTAATCTAAAATGATATCTTTAACGTCGCTACTATTATCACTAATAGGATCGACTTAGTCTAGAAATTCTAGTCCTCAATGTTTTTATAGCTTAAGTAGTAAAAGTAGCTATATTTGAATTGTTACAACTCGACCCTTTATACTTTAGAGAACGATGCAAATTAATATGATTTTACGAGGTATGGAGACTTTAAGCCTCTCATGGTCCAAAAAAGGGCGAGTTAGAGTCCCCAGCCTCAAATTATAAACCTCAATAGCCTTTTAAGCGTTGATTTTGGGTTGATTCTTACTTGTCATTGAACATTCACACAGTGCGTTGGGAACTTGGGTATTCTCAGTAGCAGGAGCGTTGCTAGCAATTCCAGTGGGAATAAAGAGGAAGTCTCTGGCACCCCTTGTGTTTTTTGGCACAACTGGTACAATGCTTGATATCATAATGGGAATTAGTGCCTGTGAGAGAGAACATGCTGAGCGTCAAATGAAGCTATTAGAAGAAGCCCAAAACTCTGCACCCGAACCCTCTGTTGCTGAATCCCATTCCCATTCTTGAGATTGTGCTTACACGTTTGTGTCACCTTAGTAACCTGCCCTGCCCTGCCCTGCCCTTGGCTGATTTCTTCAGCCTTCTTTCAAAACCCAGGAACATTTCTGCCTTCACTTTATTGTTTAGCAATAAAATTATACTTCAGACCAAAATTCTCTTGTTCATGAAGGACGTTGAGAATTTAGTTTCATTGTTCCCTTGAAGAAATCGTTCACAGTTTCATTGATTTTTCAACAAATTTAAATCCTGAAGGCTTAGCTTTCCCTAAGAATCCCAGTTTGCAGCATATGTGAAATTTCAGGATAATTGCTTCACATGAAGTTTGGCCTTGAAGGACAAAAAAAACTCAAAAGCCATGTAAGAAACATAATTTTCAATACCAAAAATAGGAAATTAAGACTCAGTTCTATTTTAATTTAGCTTTTGGTAAGAACGAGTTCAATTATAAGGAGGAAGTCGATTAAAAATTTAAAATTTTGGTTAAATGTTCAAATCTCTACTCTTTCGCCGAAAGGAAAAAACGAAGCTCTGATAAAAAATTGGGTTAGTTCTTCCATCTAGAGA